TGGGTGGCGTGACTACGTATACGCTGTCATTTAACCGAGTGGCGAGATAGATAAGAGATGTTTACAAGCCAACGTGTATAGAAACACGTGTCCGCGGCGTGGCACGCTTGCAAATAATAATTATTCTTTTCGTCTCGTTCTGATTTGAACATTGTTTGTTTTACAACTCTTGCATTTCTGCTTACCCCGTTATCACATCATGTGACTCGTATGTATACAAGCGCGCCCATTTTGTGGTATTTTGCTGCGTCAGACTGAAATCTTACCATAGAGCAAAGCCAATCAGTAATCTGAAGTTGATAACGTACGCAGTACACAGAGTTATGATAACAGCATTCACTTACATATATATAGTTGTTACATTTCGATATTTCTCAGTAGAGTGCACATCACATCGTTACCAACTTGTACTCATACGGTTGAAAGCAGAAAACCAGAAAAACAAGAGAAGAGAAGAGAGGAGCGGAGAAGGAAAGAGAAGAAAAGAGAAGAGAAGAGAGGAGCGGAGAAGGAAAGAGAAGAAAAGAGAAGAGAAGGAGAGACCAGAAGAGAAACACTGGTATGTATATGCTAAAATCATTCATTTAATTTTCTCTTTTATTCTCATGTCGATGAAGAAGCTAGTGGTTTTGCGCATGCGTGCTCGTGCGTGCGCGTTCGTCTGCGTGTGTCTTAGAAGGCGTGTGTGTGTGTGTGTGTGTGTGTGTGTGTGTGTGTGTGTGTGTGTGTGTGCGTGTGTGCGTGTGTGTGTGTGTGTGTGAGTTTGTGTGTGTGTGTATGTGTGTGATTGTGAGTGTGTGTGTATGGGGGGGGGTGCGGCGCGCGTGTGTGGTGTGTGTGTGTGTGCGTGTGCGGGCGATTATGTGTGCGTGTGCGCGCGCGTGTGTGTCTGCGCGCATGCGTGTGTGCGTTTGTCTTCGAAGGCGCGCGCGTGTGTTTGCGTGTGTCTTCGAACTTCGAAAGAGTGTGTGTGTGTGTGCGACCGTGTGTGTATATGTGTGCGTGTGTGTGTGTGTGTGTGTGTGTGCGTGCGTGCGTGCGTGCGTGTATATATGTGCGTGTGTGTGTGCGTGCGTGCGTGTGTGCGTGCGTGCGTGCGTGCTTGCGTGTGTATGTGCTTGATGTTGTTTATGTTTCACTCTGCGTTTGCTTACGCCTTCTGTGGCAGCTGATTTTTACCATAAAACCGTTCGTTGACAAATTCTACAAGACACATACAGGCACCATAACAGCTCGAAGTGAGGGGGTATTATTAGTCCCTCTCTGGGACAATCGTTCTAGTTTTATTTTCTCGTCAGTTCTCATGCCGATGAAGAAGTTAAGGCTTTTGAGCATGCGTGTTCGTGCGTGCGTGTGTCTTCGAAGGCGTGTGTATGCGCGCGCGAGTATGTGCGTGCGTGCGTGCGTGCGTGCGTGCGTGCGTGCGTGCGTGCGTGCGTGTGTGCGTGCGTGTGTGCGTGTG